AACTTAAAAAAGTCTTAACTGCCAATTTGATTTCCACCTAGAAATCCTCAGGTAGCTCTTACAGATTATGAATAATGTTCTACGTTATCAGTTTTTATTTTAAAAAAAAATCTGGGAATTTTTCAGGCTTTATCTTAAAAAAAACCCCACAAAAAATGGGATGAAATCAGGATAAAAGGAAGAAAAGGGGAAAAAAATTAAATCGGGGTAAAAATCGGCAGTGAGGGAGGGAGTAAGGCTGGGAGTGGGGAAGGGGCAGGGGAGGGGTGTGGCACAATCCATCTGCCGCTGCCAGGGCTGCAGCAGGGACCAGAGTGTGGGGGGGAGCTGTTAGTGGGTGTGGGGCAGGGGGGCATGGCTCTTGTTGATAGCTTCTATGTGCCCCCCAAGGCGCGTGTCCCCAGATCAGTGGCAGGAAGCACATGGGGCCGTGCCCTGCCTCTCTTCCCTGGCTGTGTTTACACCCTTCCCCCCTGCTGCAGCATCCTGCTGCCAGGCTGCCCTGACATTTGGGGAGAGAGGGGAGTGGCTCACAGCCAGATGAGAAGGTGAGGGGGACACGACCCTGGCACTGGCACCTCCCTCCCCACCTGGGTTCAGGGCTGGGAGCCCCGTGCCTCCAGGCAGTGGCTCCAGCCCTCTGGGCCCATGCACAACAGCTGGGTGCAACGCCCGCTGCAGTGAGTTGGGCCAGGCTCTCCCGCCTACCCCCTCACCCCCGATGAAGCTCACAGCTCCCAGTGCCCGAGGCAGGGCCAAAACAGGATCTGCTGGGGTGCAGCTCTGACTCGCCTGCCCTGGGAGTGATTCTGGTCCACCCCACCCAGGGTCAGGCCTGCTTCCCATACATCTGGCCAGAAACTTGTGTCTTGGGTAACCGGCACAGTGGCACTTTTAGCTTACCAGCACCACCTGTTTTTCAGTTCAAATCCCTGTTAAGTGCCACAAGTGGGGAATGGGCCATTCACCACTCATGCCAGTTAACAGGGATTTGAACTGGAAAATGGGTGTAAATTAGTAAAACTGAATTACTTAAAAAATAATCGGGGAATTTATCAGTGAAAATCAGTAAAAATTGAGACTGCAGAACACTAATTTTGAAGCACCAATATAAATTCATCAAGTAACAAGCGGTCTGCTGTTTTATGCAGTGTCATCTTCCAAGTGGTCTCAAACTTACAGACTCCATAAAGCATATTAGTGTGGTCAAATATCAAGGTCTCAGAGAGACATCAATGGTTGATGAGAGACATGCATTCAAATCCCTACACTATCACAGACTCCCAGGGTAAATGTGAGCAATTCATGTACTCTCTATCTGTGCTTCACTTCCCTATATGTAAAATTATGATAATTATATAGCCCTGAAGCAAATGGGTGTGGAAAGATAAATACATCAAAGATTGTGAAGTACTCTGATACTAGTTTTGGGGGATAGATAAGGAAGAAAGTGCCAAAGACTTTGATAGTTGTCCTGTGATCCGTAAGAAAAGAAAGGTCTCTAGTAAACATATACAAGTGTCAGTTGCTCATTGAGGAACAGCCTTGGATTTCACTTTGTTTTCCAGCCACATAAGCAGCCCTTTTGGCACTTAGGCACAGTATTACCCATGTAGGGTAGACTTGTAAGTGTATGTGCTGTAGGCTATAACCTGGCTGCTAGGCACATGAATAGCTCTGTACACATGCTCATTATGGGCACGTTTGTCACAAAACTGCAAAAGGAGGGCTGAAGAGAGGACCAGGTAATGCCTATACTGTGGTGTTGTATTTAGAGGGCTGTTTTAAGAAGCAAGAGAGCCAGAGGGTCAAACCCATCCTGGGTGAGTACTCCAATTACTTAGTTACTGGGGTTAAAATAAGGGATGTCCCTCTGTGTCCTCTTCCTGGATTTCTTCAGGACTTACTTTCATGTATGCAACTACATCTGCATGTACTTGTCTGGCCGGTACATAGTTTACTGAGAATGCTTAGTACACGTTCATGTGCTGCAGGGATAATCAATAGGGGTGCACTGATGAAGATTTTTTTGGCCAATACCAATGGCTCATTAACTAGCCATATCAACCGATACTGATCCAATAGCCGATATGAGGCCCGACAGCATGGAGAGCAGCATCTGGCCAGTAAATTGGAGTGGGGGGGGGCGGGCAGATCGAAGCCCCCATGGTGAGGGAAGGAGTGGGGCTAGGGCTGGGGCTGGGGCAGGTGCAGGTGCTGCCCAGCCAGGTCAAGGCATAGCCAGATCTGTGGGTGCAGGGGCTGCGCTTGGGGCAGACAGGGCGGGTGGTCATGGTGCTGGGAGGGGGGGCTATGGCAAATTTTGGGATGGCTGTAGTGCACTCCATAGCCCCCCTCCCAGCACCACCACCACCCACCCTGGGCGCAGCCCCGGCCCAGCACCCCCCTGCTGGGAGGAGACCGGTGCAGTCCTTGGCCCTGAGCCCGCAGCAGGCAGCCATCCCTCGCCCCACACACAAATCTGGGGGTCACATGCCCCCCATGCCTTTCTCACAGGTGTGAGCAGTGGCAGGAGCCACCCTCTTTCCCCCCCCCACCCCCCACACCTCCTGGACGAACTGCCCACAGCTCTGGGCAGCACCTGCCCTAGCCCCACTCAGTTCCTCATGATGGGGGCCTCAGTCAGCCTCCTGCCATGCCCCTTCCCCCCCCCCCCCCCCTCCCCCCCCCAACCCCGCCCCCCCCCGACTTACCAGCCAAACGTTGCTCTCCAACCTGCTGGGCTGCATCCCTGGCATTTATTGGTGACATTATCGACCACAGAGGCCAAAAAAAGCCAATTGCTGATACTGTCAAATTTATTTTTATCAATGCTAATCCGATTTGGACTGATTATATAATTGATCCATCTCTAGTAGTAGATTCACAAACTGAGCATAAATGCCACAAAGGCCATTTAGGTACCTGGAAAATTACCATTTAGGCATTCAAAAAGAAATAGAATTTCATATCTTGTGGCCATCCATTTACAATTCCTCTCTCCCCGCCCCAACCGCATCAGGAATTTATACCATATGTGACGACTATACTATTTCAGTGAGAGGCGCCAGTCTAATTCTTACCAATTTTTTCAAGGTTTTCATTCAACTTACCATATTGCTTATTTTTAATTTTTGTAAACTCTGACACAAACATTACTTTTTCCCAGACCTTTGGGACTTGGTAAAAAATACTGAACAGCAATTTTGCCTTTTCTGAATTATTATTAATATTTGTATTGAATAAATCTGCCTTTTTTAATGAGTACTTTCCACCTTCCCTTTTTTATCAGTAAGCTAAATTCTGTTTCCCTTTGCAAGCAGAAATGGCAGTTTTGTAACTCTGTACCTCACTTTTTTTTTACTCTTAATGTGCATTTTATGGTATGGTATAGTATGGTAGAGCACTGTGCCAGAAACTCAGGGAGATGGAAGTTCAGCTCCCTCTGGGCAATGGGAGCCATTAAGTTTGGTCTGCTGCTTCTTGGGCATGTGCCCTAACCACTAAGCTGTTGGAGCTAAAATCACACGTAAAGCCCTCCTCCCATAACATCTAACACCTATTAGATATGGGTTTTTGGATGTCTATATTTCTGGAATTTGTGTTTCCACAATGGGTGCACATACATTGCTACATCTGTGCCCGATGCATAATTTACTGCACATGCTCAAGATACGCAGGCACGCAGTTCAAATCCCTGTTAACTGGCACGAGAGAGGAATGGCCTATTCCCCACTCATGCAGGCTAACGGGGATTTGAACTGAAAAACAGGTGGTACTGGTAAGCTAACAGTGCCGCTGTGCCGCTTACCTGAGGCACAGATTTACAGCTGGACATTCAGAGGGCGGTGGCTGCGGCTGCATGCGGAGTGGGGAGGCAGGGAGCTGGCGGTGGCTGCACAGGGGCTGGGGGAGGGTGGCTGAAGCCACTGCCTGGGGACACGGGGCTCCCAGGTCTGACTTTTGGCAGGGCGGGCCACACCACAGGAATCACTCCCGGAGCAGGCGGATCCAAGCTGCACCCTGGCGGTTCCAACTTTGGCCCTGCCCCGGGCACTGGGAGCTGTGTGCCCTGCCAGATGGGGGCAGGCAGGAGAGCCTGGCCCCACTCCCTGTGGCGGGTGCTACACCCAGCCGCTCCTCATGGGCCTGCAGGCCTGGGGGCTCAGGACTCCCAGCTCTGACCCCCGGTGGGGCAAGAGGTGCCAGTGCCACAGTCCGGTCCCCTCCACATCTGGCCACGCAGCACTCCCCCCTGCCCCCCAAACACCAGGGCAGCCTGACGGGAGAGGGGAGGGGCACGAACACAGCCAGGGAAGAAAGACAGGGCACGGTGCTATGTGCTTCCTGCCACTGATCCAGGAGCACACGCCCCAGGGGGCACATAGCATCAAGAGCTGTGCCCCCACACCCACTGACACCTCCCCCCACTTTGCTCCCTACTGCAGCCCCAGGAATGGCTGATGGGCTGCTTCGCGACCCTCCCCCTTCCCTTTCCTTAGTTCCGGCCTTACTCCCTCCCTACCAATTTTTTTTCCCCTGGTTTAAACTGATATTTTTCCTTTTCTTCCTTTTTTCCTGATTTCATCCCACTTTTTATGTTTTGAAGATAAACCCTGGAACATTCCTGGATTGTTTTTTAAAATAAAAACTGAAAATATGGAATACTACTTATTGGGCATTTAATAAAACAATATCAGTTTTTGTTCTTATTTTTCTCTTTCAGTGCCCTACCTCCCCAATCTAATATTCCCTATTTGAAAATTGAATATATAACTGTTGGAGTTATCTTCTTTATATAATACTTGCATACAAATGTAGTATGTTCTAGTTCTCCCAGAAGTTATAGCACGTGCTGTGCAGGAAGTTAAACTACATAATCAAATTATCTTTTCTATGGTCAATATTTGTGACATTTTATGAAATGTTACCTGCTAATTCTCACTCAGGTTCTTTATGAAGAGTTGGAAAGTGACTTATCTCTATATTGATCATTCCAGGAGATGATTTGATGCGTTGTGTGGATCTTTATAATCAAGCTCAATCCAAGTGGTTTGAAGAAATGGTGACTACTACTCTGGTACGTATCAGTCTGAGACTTCTGTTTTGTTTATGCTGCTCTTCTTTTATTTCTGCTTATAGGGAAAACCTTTGAAATGTATAACTGTAGTATGTCACCATTCACAACCAAAATGCAGATCAGTATAGATGCCAGACCTTAAACTTGCCACTACACTGCCCAAACAAGTTTAATATCATTTGGGCAGGAAGAAGAAAATATTGTCTTTCACAGTATATGTAATGGGGTAGTAGTTTGCAGCTGGTCAGGGGTTTGGAATTTTAGAAGTAGATTGGAAGAAGTGAAGTATATAGCTGAGGGTAGGTAGTAAAAAAATACATGATACAGTTTGAAATACATGTACAAATAAATAAATGTGGTAATTTTTATCCCATGGTTTTGCAGTTTATACCATGGGTATTATCAGTACATGGGTGGTGCAGGATAACTGCATGAGATGAATAAGACTGTAGTAATGGTGCATGTACATGTTCTTACCTTGAGGTAACTGAAAGCTAACCCACAACAATGCACCTCTGTTTCACTGAGGGGATAAGTTCCCTGGCTGCATATGCCTTGTGGTAATAAATGTATTTGACCATGCAAGAATTCTCCTTCTCTTAAGTAACCATTGCACAATACAGTCCTCAGGATTTATATTTCTAGTTTTCCTATAAAGTAGCTTGTTGATTTTCTTGCCTCTGTTGAAGCTCCCTGTCAGCATGTTCGAAACAGAAATTCTCCTTTGAGTAATTGTCCACATACAGTCTCACTTGCAGGTGTGTTTCCTTCCCTGAGCTGTGACCAGAGACTTTTTTGCTTTAACAATATGCATAGAGTGTGCCCTGGGGGTGCAAGCTCCCTGTTTCTCAATTCCTCAGCTGTGTAGTTAGCTCATCATGTGTGCTAGCAGCGAGGAACCTTAGGACACACTCCAAAGCAGTCTCTCTCTTTTTCTTCTGTGCATTCTTAACACCTTCGCTGTCCTAGGAAACGTATCTCAGAGTTCTTTTCTCTTTGGGGCAGTCAGCAGCCCTGCACTGCAGCCAGTACCAATCACTTGCCTCTCCCCCTGTGGTGGTACCACATGGTATCATCACAACTTTTGGCCAGTTGACCCTCTGATCTCAAGTGAAACAGGCTTTTTTCCTTTTTTTCTACCTTTTTTTTCTCCTTTCCCTCAGTGGAGGCAGGGGACATTTTTTCCTTTGATCAATAGCCTTCCTCTGCTCTCCAAGTTTCCAGCCATACCATTCATGTGTAGTCTGTTTCCATCTTCTCACAGCCACACACACAATGCTCCTTCTGTTGGGAGAGACCTGTATCCCCAACAGATGCTCAGTCTGTCAGTCCTTCAAATTAAGAACCAAAAAAGACAGAGTAAGCTTTGGCTATCTCTCCTCAACATGTAATTCTACTCCGTCTGACCCAGGATTGACAGCCTCATCTCAGGACTGCACATCCCCCCAGTACTGAACGCAGACCAGTCTCCTCTTTGACACTGTCAAAATTGGCACCCTTGCACTGGTCTTGATTGGGATCTAGAGGCAGGTGCCCAACCACAAGAAGTCAAAGGAAATCTTCCTTGTGACTCAGAGCTCCTTATCCTGTAGAGTATCCTGCAGCTCCTTATCCTGCCTTTGTGAATGGGGTAATGCTTCTGAGACTTCCCAGCCTGGACAGGCAATGGATGAATTCTCTGGGATTCCCAGTTCTTACACCATCTTCTCCTCAAGCTTTTCAATCCTGCAGGATTGTTGTGGAAACTGACATTATGGAACCATACAGTAAATCTCAGCATCAGGGACTTCCATTTATGAGAGACTGGACAGGAAATAGAGTCACACACTGCTTCATCCTCATTAGCCACTGCCATGACTTATAAGAAGTGGGTTTATTCAACACAATTCCTAAAGAAAAAAAGCCATGGAGACCATTTTGATAAATGGGCCTGTTCCTCGACAAGTCTAAAATTTACTGGTCCACGATAATTTTGTGCATGTTGTCTCTCTTATCAAGGACCTCCCTGCAGATCACACCTGATTCTCTACTCTTATTAGTATTAGGGTAGCTAAGGGACTGCTTCAAGCTGCCCTGGATGCCATGGACACAGCTTCCCACTCTATGGCCAGGGCAGGCCCTTGAGCATTGCACCCTATACTGGCTTTTATCTAGACAAGGTGACCCAGGGAACTCATGTGAAGTTTCTGCCTAATATCTCCGAATTCCATCTGAGTAAGGAGATAGACTTGTTTAAAGCAATCTGTTGCTTTAGTTTTTCCTGAAGCTTTATACATCACAACCGAAAGGACTCCATCTAGTTTAGATGTAAGATGAGTTCTGACCTACTCTTTGGCCAAAATGAGGCTATTTTGAAACTCTCTCCGTCTCTCTGTTTCTAAGGCTGAGAGATGTAAGGACACAGTAATACTGGCCCAAAGACTGTCTACATGGATATTGGATTTGTAAAACTGTGTTATGAGAGCCCCAAGATTGAGCCGTGGCCCATAACTTGTGCTTACTCCATGAGGGTCCAGGGCACTTCCATAAGTACCTTGCACATTGTTTCCCCAAGTGCTACCTACAAGGCAGCCACCTAGAGTCTGATTTGCACCTTCCCTAAGCATTGTGCCCTCATAAAGTCTAGAAGATAGAACTGCCTTTCTAGCTGTGTTTGGTAGATACATTTTTTTAGTTACTCTTTGCCAAGAAGACTCCAAGACCAGGCACTCCCAAGTGAAAATGTGTACGTGGACAGTTACTCAAAATACGGTTATTTCCCAGTAAGTAGAGTTTTTCCCACATATTGGCCACAAACCTATTTGTATCCCATTCTCTCTCCATTTTTCTCAGAGTTGGCATATAGGTCTCAGTGGCTGAAAGGAAACCAAGGAGCAGGAAGGGCATACCTTCTTTTATAACCTGGGCATAAAAGGGTTGTGAACTGCAGGCCTAGAGTAAATACTGTGGATAATGCTAAGGTGAGAAGTCTCTTGTCAAAGCTCAGGAGCATGAGAATGTGTATGTGGGCAATTCATCTCAAAGAACTCTGGTTACTGGAAAGTAACTTCATTTTTCCTCTAAAAGTACCCAAGTATCCTCACCCTTCTTTCTTGGTGGCTACAAAAGTGAATGAGAATGCCAGATTGAATAAGACATGGGAAATATATAGAGAGACTGAACCCATTTGATCAAAGGTCCTATTCCTCCCCGAGCCTGTAATTCAGAATTGCTCAAGATCAGGCTGTCCTGGTCCATTATGATATCCAGGTCTACAAAAAGACCTCGTGAAGTTGCTTGACTTAGATAAGAGAACGGACAGATTGTAGGACCATCTTTGAAACTAACAGCACTAGGCACAGCTCCATGGTTTTGGCAGTAGTCATATATAGATGTTTCTGATTGCAAGTTTAAGGCTTTCTGAAGGAGTTCCAGGCTATTGTGGAGGACCTACTTTTTCAACAGTGTGGAACTATTTAGTGCCCAAACTGATTTTGCATGCATTAAAAGATTCAAGAGCCTTACTTTCCTTGTTTGTGTGTCTTCTTCCTCCTACAGGCACAAGTTCAAGGAGCAGATATGTACATAACAGTGCAGGTTCTCTCCCAGTATCCACCACTGTGCAATTAGCACATGTCACCTGTCACCACGCAGAGTCCCTTGAAAGTAGCAGAGGTTCCATTAGCAAAGGAACACAGATGCACCTTATTCTGTAGCACATAGATTGTCCATCCCTAAGCAAGGGGTTTGGTGGTGTGCTGAAGAGGTACTAACTCCATGCTACCGCCTGCCATATCAAAACTGTTTGGCCTGCTTTTATCCTGCATGGGGCCATATTACGTAGGACTAGTGGTCCTAGATATGGTAGCTAATGGATACTCCATTTGGTTTGAGTCACTACCCATTCACAACCCCTGTTCCATGTTTGTTTCAGAGACCCTTCTCTCAAGAGTTTGCTGAGGAAAAAGATGTGCTTGCTGCTGGTTCTGGGGACCATAGAAAGAGTTCCCCTACATTTAAGGGAGAGGGGTTTTATAACAGTTATTTCCTTGTTCCTTAAGAAAGAGGGAGGTTGGAGACCAGTCTTAAACCAAAGAAAGCTCAACACATTCATCTGCAAACTCAAGTTCAAGGTGGGACTTTGGTGGCAAAAATACCCTCATTGCATCAAGGAGAATGGTTTGCTTCCTTCAACTTGCAAAATACTTATTTTCACATTGCCATAAGGTATTTGCACAGAAAGTATCTCAGATTCATAATAAATCAGGACAGTTACCACTACAGGGTCTTACCCTTCAGCCTCTTCACAGCCCTAAAAGTGTGTACCAGTTTTCTCACTAAGGACAGGAAGAACAAAACACGAGATTAGCCATAGGGTTGGGAGGGACCTCACAGGTCATCTGGTCTAGGTCCCAGCAGAAATGGAATAATGCTGTTCAGTCAAATGTTTATCCAGTCTCCTCTTGAAAACCTCCAATTGAGGAGATGTTACAACTTCCTATCCCTACACTGACCTTACCTCCTAACCCTATTCCCATATGTAGCAAGTTTTTCATAGCCCCTTTGATCTCACCCCATGCCCATTCCATGACAGTCTCTTCTTTACCAAGATTTGGGATTATTAAGAAGCTGTACACTTGCACAGGCTTTTTTTCTCCTGCTGCTGCCTTTGTATTGTATCATTTTTGATATACTGGACATGCAGAAGAGAATCTTGGGGCAGTTTCCCTGGCTGCTCATCTTGCAGAGCTTGAATTATTTGCAGACTTTAAGCTAGGTTTACATCTAGTGCTTTTGCTCAGCTGCTGATGAAGGTGTGGGATTGTTTTTCCTTTTACAGGAGCTCGAGAGGCTAGAGGTGGAAAGGGTGGAAACGATTAGACAGCACCTTTGCCAATATACGCAGCTGCGACATGAGACAGACATGTTCAACCAAAGTGTGAGTTCACTTTTTTCTTTGGTCTGATATCCACAGTGAGGTTCAGATGAACTACTGACTGTGATCTCTGCTAACTCCCGTGTCTGGTGGCGTTAGTGGCACAAATAAATAAGTGGTTACAATTTAGGAGCTGGTGGTTTTACACCAGTTCTCCTCTCTGACCCTGGCCTTACGGGCAGAAACTTCCTCTAGTCCATGTGGTCCCCAACCTGCCATCTCTATTAAAAAACATCCACACCTTGGGGACAGAGTAGCTGGTCCATTGGAAAATCTAATTACCAAAGTGCTAAAGTATGGTGTGCATCAGAAAACAAGTAACAGGGAAGAGGGAACTCAGAAGATAAAGCAGCCTCTTGCTTTAATTGACACCTGGCCTGCAGTAGTTGTCTAGCTCTTCCTGCAGCACATGCATAGCTCCCTACATCCCTCTATTTTTGCAAGAAATAACCAAACAAACAATCATTTCATACTGAAAATATTCAGTCTTATAAAACTGGCACATTCAAGTACATATATGTATAATATATGTTGTGAAGTGTGTTATGCAATGTATTGTAGCATAATATCTGGTATATTCACAGTATAGGAATAATATTAATAGCTACATGTTTCACAGAATCATAGAAAGTTAGGGTTGGAAGGGACCGCAAGAGGTCATCTAGTCCAACCCCCTGCTCAAAGCAGGACCAGCCTCAACTCAAGGATCAAGAATGGAGATTCTACAACCTCTCTAGGTAACCTGTTTCATTGCTTTACTACCCTCCTCATGAGAGAGTTTCTCCTAATATCCAATCTAGAACTTCCCTTGCTGCAACTTGAGACAACTGTTTTTTATTCTGGTATCTGCCACCACTGAGAACAGTCTAGCTCAAGGTGGAAAAAATATGGCCTGTGGGCTGAATTTGGCCTGCCAGCTAACTAGATCCGGCCCACATGCAGGCACCCACAAATTAATTGCATCTGGCTTGGCTGGCAGCTGCCCCTGCTGCGTTCCACATGGGGTCAAGTCCCATTAACTGGGAAGCTGCAGCGTTGAAGGGACTGGGGCGGAGGCTGGCTTGGCTGCAGACCCACCTGGTAGGGGCTGCCGTGGTGGCAGGCTTAGCTCTCTCCCACACGTCTGCCCCCTCCTAGGAGCTTCCCTTGCTGCCTGCCTGCTGCAGCTGCTTTCCTGCCTCTTTGCAGTGTGCCAAGAACCAGGCAGGTGGCACTGATTCTGCCCTACCCCCACGGAGGGGCTGGGCTAAGCCACTTCTCACTCACTCACTCACCCCCTACCCCATCTCCACACAATATACAAGCTATTCCCTCCCCAAAGGAGTACTTCTGGGGCAGGGGGAGAGAATTCCACTG